TTCAACTCATTATAAATAATATCTGAATCATAATATGCGCGATAAGCACAAGCGCCTCGCTGAGGTTTGTACTTAGTTACATTATGTTGTGTATGTTTGGATCGCATCGACTGATAACCAGGTAAAGCGATAACCGTTGCGCGGTGATCGGCCAGTACAGTTTCGAGTGCGGCCGTGCACGGTACAGTATTGTGGTACTTAACGAATATGTGGTCTATACATGACATCGTGACTTTATCTAATTTTCGTTCTATTCTAGTGTAGTCCGTTATACCACAACTGTAACCGCGCCCGGCGATCATATCCATGTACCGATTTCGACTACTGCTTGAAGTTTTTAAGTCGATATTCATATCTCCTAGTATGATTGCATTTTTACATGTAAAGTATGTTTTTTTAAGCAATTTATTTAGTTCTGTTATAAAATATGGTTTGGATTTATCAGAGGGTGGTCTATATATAATACAAATATCGACTGAGGTGTTCGTTGCAGTTTTAATTGTGCCAGTTATGCTTTCAAAATAAAAGGTTTTGGTGTTATGAGGGGTGAATTTTAGGTAACTTTTAACATACATAATAATACCGCCTCCTCTTCTATTCGTTCGTAAGTTCGTAAACATTACATATCCAGGAATATGAAATAAATTACAAATACTATCTGAAACTCCCACCTCGGTAATTGCGATTATGTCTAACGGGTGGGTACTTGAATTAATCATTTGTAATAACTTAGAGAAATTTTTTATCAACGATCTAATATTGATATGTATACACAATAAGTGAATGTTAGTGGATATTAGCTTTACAAAAGAGTTTATATTCAAACAGTTATAATATTCATGCGGTCTAGATACATCCATATTCATATTATACAATTATTAGGTAGTATTTTTAAGAAATAAAGGAACATATTACTTGTTCTGTTTGGTGATTTTTAAAATATCTTGCATTGTACGGAGAGTCATTACTTTGCTATCGTCTGACTCGCGGCAATAAATCAATCCATTTTTACACCATACATACTTATGAGTAGATTTAAGGTTATTCCTGGCGTTGAAAAACAGCGTCTTCATGTAGGGAGAGAGTGCTTCTCGTATGAAGATTTTCATTCCTGCTTGCTCATTAGGCACGTTCTTACTTATTACACCTAGGGTTAGCTGTGCTTTTTTTCCTGCCTCTAACCAGTGATCACGGACATCCTTCGATTTCATCTCCACCATGATGCTACCCGTTTTTTCACGACGGGAAGGAAGTCGGTGCGAATGTACAACCGAACCGACGTCCAGATTAAGCTTTTTTGCGATTTCTTGAGTAATAATTAGTCCGCTTATTTTAATGTCAGAAGTAATACCAGATATTTCAAGTGAACATGATAGCGCTCGCTGTTCCATTTCGCGAATTTCTTGCTCGACTGCTGCAATTTGACTTTCAAAATATTTGTTTTTATTCTGAGTATCGTTAATGTTATTTTCTAACTTTTTTATTCTTGCCTCTTGATGTTTTATTGAATCTTCTATTGTTGTGACTTGTTGACCCAAAAACTCTAAAGAACTCTTGACTCCATCTAATTCCTTTTTGAGGATTTTTTGCATTTGGTTACTGATATCTCGGATCAGTTTATTGTAATTATCTGAAGACATGTCATTCAGGCTTGGAGACAGTTCATCTTCGTCTGAGTCTTCGTCCATAGGTATCATAAAGGAGGATCTTCGTGATGCGTTGTTGATACAATCTTCGCAGCTCCATTCCAGTCCAGTGGCATTGCGAAGGGTGGTAAGCTGCTTATTACTGAGTTTAGAGCAAACTGATGTTGCATGAACAGATTTTTCACATCGACTGCACACCAAACCAGGAGTTTTTTTGGTAATGTTTTTAGCACAAGATGTACATTTTTGCACCATTTTATTCGCGTAAGGTAGATGAATATCAAGCAGGTTCGCCAGTTTATGGGCCTAGCCAGTTATTTTCGCAGATATATTCCTGGCTTTGCCCAGAAAACCGCCTGCATCGCTACTCTGACAAGGAAGGGTGTAGAATTCAGATGGGGTGATGAGCAGCAGGCGGCTTGTAATGAATTGATTCAATGTCTTACTAGTGAACCTGTTCTTGCTTTTTATGACCCTTCCTTACCCGTAGAAGTCCACACGGATGCTAGCGCAATAGGTTATGGGGCTGTACTGATGCAGGTTCATGAGGGCGGTTATAAACGGGTAGTGGCTTATTTTAGCAGGTTAACGCAAGGAGCAGAGAGTAAATATCACTCGTATGAGCTCGAAACTCTTGCTGTAGTTAAAGCGCTACAACATTTTAGGCCATATCTTGTAGGTGCACGCTTCACTGTGGTCACTGACTGCAATGCTTTGAAGCTCACGCAACGTAAAAAGGACTCACTACCAAGAGTGGCCCGGTGGTGGGTGTACCTGCAAGATTTCGATTTTGGATTGGAATATCGAAAAGGAACTTCTATGTCACACGCTGACTATCTAAGTAGGAACCCTGTTAACATATGCTCAATCCAAAAGCCACGTAATTGGGCACAGATTGCTCAAGCATCTGACGAAGAGACCAGGCACTTGATACAAAAACTTACTGACGGACAACTAGACACGACTCGCTACCAAGTTAAGAACGATATACTTTATTTCAAATACTCGCCTACTGGCGAATCTTCTCGATTTCTTTGCTACATCCCGAAAGGCCACAGACTGAGCCTTCTTCGTATATTCCACGATGAACATGAACATGTTGGAGTAGATAAAACTATTAACCTGATTTTAAAACACTTTTGGTTCCCCAACCTAAGATGTTTCGTTCAAAAGTACATAGCACATTGCTTGGTTTGTATCTCTCATAAGAAAGTTGCACGAGCTCCACTACAACCTATTAGCTCTTGGGAAAAACCTGATGTGCCCTTCGACACCATCCATATGGACACCCTAGGGCCCCTTCCTGAAGTTGACGGTTTCCGTCACATTTTGATAGTTATAGACGCCTTTTCAAAATTTTGCCTGTTATACCCGATGTATCGACAAGATGCTGATGAATTGAAGCGTCATTTCAAAAATGTCATCTCTCTATTTGGGACACCCAGATTAATTGTAGCTGATCGAGGCCGTATGTTTCAAAGTACCGAGTTTCTTAATTGGGTTAAGAAATGGGATTCGATACCTACTCATTTTATAACGCCGGAAATGCACCAAGCGAATGGGCAAGTAGAACGCTATTGCCGGACGGTGCTTAATATGATTCGTATTGAGAACAACTATAGACAACACGACTGGCCTAGCATGACTTGGAAAATTCAACTGGTGTTGAATATTTCCAAACATAGTACAACTCAAGATTCAGCTCTGAATCTACTGGTGGGCATTGACGCTGCCACTCCAGTTATCCGTGGTGTAATACGAGATGTTGCACTTGAAGGCTCCAGCCCCAATAAAGAGGCTCTTCGTGAAATGAGCCGACAACGAGCATCAGAGAGGTTAAAGCAGAATCAGCAAAAACAAGATGCCTATGTCAATCAAGGCAGAAAGCCTGCACGTAGTTTCGAACTAAACTCATTAGTCTTTGTTAGAAAACAGGCGCAGTCAACGGGCAAGTTGGACTCTTGTATGCGCGGTCCCTACCGCGTGTTGAGGGTGCTGCCTCGTGGACGCTACGAGTTGCAGCTTGTGGCTGGGTCATATGGGAAGTCGACCCAGGCTGCAGCGGAATTCATGATTCCGTGGCGAGGAGAGTGGAGCCCCGAAGTTAGCGCTGCTTTCTTCGATGGTCAGTTATCTCTCTGTTGGAACAGTATTGGAAAATGCTTCACGTCGTGCCTCTGTCCTGATGTAGACAAGACAAGCTTCATGTAGTGCCTCTGTCTTGGCTTTTTTTTTTGAGTTAAGCTTCACGTAGTACCTCTGCCTCAATGCCTGTAAAGTTATGCTTCACGTCGTGCCTCTAGCTTTACTTTGTAATGAGATACGCTTCACGTAGTGCCTCTGTCTCGCCGACTAATATTTGATGTTTCGAGCGTGAAGCACGTTGTGTTTATTTTTGTTTTGTGCAGATGCAGACACTGAAGACACTCTTGCCACCACAACGAAGTCTGCACCTGTCGAACACCCGGTTGACGATGGGCAGCAACCCAGCACATTAGGAGTGCCTCATCGCACCAGACCCGAACGAGCGTCCAGTATGCATGATGAGCTGGAAACTCGTGCTTCATCTGAGAGACCATCAGTCGTGCCGGACGAGCAGTCTGACCGCATTCAGCTTGGAGAGCCACCAATCACAGGGCGCTCAATGCCTGAGCTGGATTAATTAAAGGAGCCCGAGGACGGTCTTCTGTCAGGAGAGGCCGTGTAGAAGATAATAATATTTTGTCGACTGAGGGTATATAAGGCAACACCGCCCTGCGAGCGCTCTCATTGCTGCGCGCACGTTCATCGGAGTAACATCGGCATTTCTGTGTTAATTAATTTTTCTTTTGTTTTGTGAGTTATAAATTAAATAAATTACGTCTCTACGTTATTATCAATTTTTCACTTTTTAAAAAAATAATTCGGGTCACAGTTCGTAAGACTATATTAATATAAATAGTGAATCCAAACTTTTCCTGCTTGTATTTTATTCTTTGTTTATTTTTGTGTCCAGTCCGGTGTGTTTTATTTTGTATATGTATTTGTCTTGTTTAGGAGATTAAAGAAGACCTAAACTGCATTCTTCACGAATTCGCCAGCATTAAAAGTACGGCCCAAGATTTACATTTAAAACAGGATAATTTGAAAAAAGAAATAACTGCACTGCAAGAATCAGCGCAATTTTACTCTGATGAACAAGAAAATCTCAAACATAGCATTAAAATGTGCACAATTGCAACAAAAAAATATTGAAGAAATGCAAAAGGATACATTATACTTGCAAAAACAAAATAAAGACCTCAAAGCAGATATAAATTTTAAAAAACAAGCGGAACGTTTACAAAATGTAGAAATTTTATCCATCCCAGAAGAAAAAATGAAGAAATGAAGATCTTAAAGCTATAATTATTAAAATTGGACATTTTATCGGTGTCACTTTGGGACCTCATGACATTGTTAATGCTAACAGGGTGACTCCAAAAATAAAATTACATGGTCGGCCCAGAGTCATAGTGGCAAAATTGATGACACGACTGTTAAAGGATAACATGGTATCTGCGTCACGCAAACGTCGTATGACTACAGCTGATCTCAACATAAGCGGAGATACTAAGTCTATATTTATAAATGAGCATTTAACTTCTTATAACAAACAACTCTTAAAAAATGCAAAAGAAGTCTGCAAAAATAAACAATACATTTTTACATGGACAAAAAATGGAAGAGTTTATGTACGCAAGGGGGACACTTCGCCTGCGTTGTGGATAGCAATCGAAGAAGACTTAAAGAAAATTGTTTGAATAGGTTTACTATAAATTCGAATACTCTAAATATTTTGTCCAGATTGTACTTTGATTTCATCATAATGTCTCATTTAAGTAACTGTGTTAATTTACTCCATAGTGTATTTTTTATTGTGAGATACTCTCTGTGTGTGTTTGTGCAACTCGTGATGCTCCGCTTTTCGAACATCTGTACACGCCGCTACACTGTGGCAGCTTGTCAACACAGCGACGAGCATTCGTCGAACTTGTCTAACAAATTATTATTTATAAATTACCTACATCTAAAGAAAACATTTTCGCATTTTTTATCAGACTTACAGCTAAACCTTATTTCTTTGTTTACTGATCTCAGCATAATGACTATAGCTTCTCATAAGTATAAATTAGTGCAATGGTTTTTCTTTAAGATTACTAATGTTTTGATATTTACTCATACTGTCCGTTGTGTCACATTATTTTATTTATCTATCTTTCCACAATATACGAACCTCCACACCAATAAATACAAATTAATTAAATATTTACATATGATTAAAAACATCAGGATATTCACTGGTACTATAGATTTTGCTGCTTTGTTTTTGTTGCATATTTTTCCAACTAAAAATCCATTTCCCTATACTAAACATCACCAACTAAGCAAATGCTTTTTCTTTATGATCAGAAACACTACGATATTTACTGGTATTACTTTTGTTGCACGGTTTTTGTCATAATTTTTCCCAACAAAATTACTAGCTTTATATACTCACTTTAGTAAGCACATACAAATCATAATCATCATAGCAATTTACTCTAGTAATTTAGTTCAAAAAGTAACCACTAAACGATATATTTTGCACCTTGTGTTAATTGGTCGTTTAAAGTATCTGCGCTTTGATAAGCGGGATATCTTATTATGTTAGCAGCTAGTGAATTCTTGGCAACGCAATGTAATTTTAGCATACCCTCAAAATATTAAAGTACACGACTTATTTGTTGTTGAATATGGACTGTTTAAATATTTTTTTTACAGGTTAAATTATATGCTTCATACGCATGGAACCATATTCAAAGCATACTATTTACTGACAGAAACCACAATAAACATTAAAATAACTTTACTATGTATAAAATATCAACAGCAAGCAAATATTATCAATGGCTAATTTAAATTGAAATATTTACTATCAAAATATTCGCGGTCTTAGAACGAAGTGTTCACAATTTAAACAAAACTTGTTATGTAATGATTTTGATATAGTTGTAATTACTGAAACATGGTTACATGATGGTATATATGACGGTGAATTTTGTGATAACCGATATGACGTGTTCAGATTGGATCTCAATCCTTTACTATGTGAGAAGAGGTTTTTATTTTTTTTTACGCTTTCATTCATTCCAGTTCTATCAATTATGCCTCTCGTACTTTCATACCTCATACGACACTTCCATCCATCACCTTTCACACTTTTGCGGGTGGGATTTCCCGCCTATTCCTACTATTTTATTTCTATTCTATTTTCTTAATTATTTATTTATTTTGATAGGGATTGAACTACAGAGTGAATTATTATTTTTACATTTATCCTTATTTTGTGTTTATTCTATATAATTCTGTTTTATTTATTTACTTTCTATTGCTATACTACTTATCTAATTACATTTCTTTTTTGTTTTTGTTTACATATACTTATGTTTAATCTTAGTTTTATACAATGTGGAAACGCCTAAAACGCCTACTCATCCAGTGAAGGCAACGAAGCTTCGTCATTGATGATCTCCACATATATTTTCACATTCACCTATCAACCTTCATACGTTAAACAACAAAAATAATTTCAACATTGTAAGCCAATAAATTCATATCTCAAATCATCGAGTTTATTTTCCGGAATAAATTCCATTGCGTCAAGAAGGCGCAAACATTGGCGACCGTGACAGGACGAGAAATACGGGAAACGATTCTGGAGGAGCGGGATTGCCGAGCAGTGATTCAGCGAAAGTTTCACATCGAAACCGAAATTCAGATAAGTGCCCTGTTTTTTCCCTTCTACAAACCATTTCTGTAGTCAAAACACCATCTAAATCCATTCAATTCCCCATTTTCTTATCAATTTCCATTATAGACTCACATTTTTGCAACCTTCGTCTACCCCGTACAAAAAAAAACAAAAATTGTAATAAACTAAATACCTTATTAATTTAATTATTCTCTCATTAATAAATTAACTAACTAAATAATATACGCTCCCGTGAACATCGCGCCAGAATTTACTCGATATTTAATAGTTTTTGCCGACCGTTACAGTTGTACCTACCGGCCGTTTTCGAACGCATCGATTCTTCGATCGACGGGTCATCAGCTGATGCTACTAACCAGTTTACTAAGTGGAGTCGCGGTGAGGAGCGTAAGATACGCATATTCATTTTCATAAAGGTGAATTTTTTGTCTTCCAAACGGTACGCGCCTTGTGGTTTGTGTTTGTGATTGTCTACTTATTAAATATAAATAACAAAGTGAAATTACTTGTGTTCACAGTGCTTAGACGTTCATAGTTTGAATTTTATTTGTGCAAAATACATATATTGGATATTAATTTAACGGATATACCTACCTACCTACAGTGAGTTATTTTTTTATTTTGTTCTTATATTAGTCTTTAGAATGTCTGAGCCTGCCGGTCAATCAACTCATTTACAGTTAGGTAATCATTCACTAAAGGAATTATTTACAAAACGCAGTTCAGTAAAGGGTCAAATAACTAGATTTAAAAATTATTTAGACAAAATCACAAGGCAGCCTACCCTCTCGACTATCGAGGTTGCTGAACTATCCTTAAAGCTCAGCAAGTTCGAAAGTCAATCAGTAAAATATGACGAGTTGCAGACTCAGATAGAATTAATTAACACTGATAATTTCGAGACAGAATTAGACGAAAGGGAGCGCATTGAGCAAGATTTTATTTTATGCATCGCTATGGCAAGAACTCGTTTAGATGAACAAAATGAAATAAAGACCATTGATCAAGACAAAAAAAGGCGTGAATCTTTATTTCATGAAGCTCAATGCGGTTTCAATAATATTGATTCTGGTGTTCGATTGCCTCAAATACGGATTGCGAAATTTGACGGATCATTCTTTCGTTGGTTAGAGTTCCGTGACACTTTTATTAATTTAATTCACAACAATGAACGAATTTCTCCTATACAAAAGTTCCACTATCTCATTTCTTATCTCGAGGGCGATGCAGCTCGTGTAATTTCGAATATAGAAGTGTCATCTGCCAATTACAATGATGCTTGGCAGTTACTATATGAACGATTTAATAACAAAAGATTACTTATAAATTATCACCTTAAATCTATATTTAATATACAACCTTTGATGCATGAAACCGAAGGTTCTTTACGATATTTAGTGGACCATATTACTAAAAATTTACGTGCCCTAGCTAATCTAGGTCAACCTACTAAACATTGGGACACTTTAATTATTTTTTTGGTTTCGTCTAAACTTGACAACAATACCTTAGCAAAATGGGAAGAACATAGAAATAATTTAAATGAATTTCCAAGCTTAGAGGAATTCAAATCATTTTTAATTGATAGGGCTCACATTCTTGAGGCTTCAAATAATAAGAAATGCATAAATTTTAATAATAACAATAATTCTACAAAACATTCTCAGAATTTTCAATCAAACAATCATAAGCAAACCTTTCGAACGAAATCTTACGCAACAATAAATCAACAACATGCTCATACTAGTACATGTCGGTGTATAATTTGCGATAAAAACCATAAAATATACGATTGTCCTATTTTTAAATCAAAATCATTCGAAGATAAATTATCTGATGTGTCTAAATACAAATTATGTTATAACTGTTTACGTCAAGGTCACCCGGTGAGTGAATGTCGCATGGGTCCCTGTAGGCAGTGTAACAAGCGCCACAATACATTGCTGCATTCAGTTGAAGCCACTAAAGCCAACAATGCGCAAATTCAGGACTGCGAGTCCATTGTTAATTTCACTCAGGACAATAATTCGAAACATATTATATTATCTACTGCCTTGATTGAATTAACAAATCCAATCACAAAAAAGAATATCACGGTGCGCGCCTTATTGGACTCAGGTAGTCAGTCATCTTTTATTACAAAATCACTACAGCAAAAATTAGCATTAAAATCTAAACCCACTTCAACAAATGTTATAGGAATCGGCAACAACACCGTTAATAAGGTAAGTGAAGCTTGTGTTGTTGAAATAAAATCGAAAAATTGTAATTACAAAGAGTATCTATCTTGCTTTGTTATGCATGAGCTCACAGGAGAACTTCCAAAGGCTCCAATAAGTTTAAATGAACTAAATATACCTACGAATTTGAAATTAGCGGACCCCAACTTTGACCAGCCTGGTCCGATCGATCTTCTGATAGGTGCAGATCTCTTTTGGGATATTTTAGTATGCGAACAAAAATCGTTAGGCAAAAATAAACCAAATCTCCAAAATTCTAAATTTGGTTGGCTCATTGGTGGTTCCGTAATCATGCCCAGAAGGGAACCATTTATGCAAACTAATATTCAATTTCAAACACATTCGAAATTTACATGCAGGCCCACAGCTACTATTAGCTACTGTTCGACAAACTTTTTGGCCTAAAAAGGGTAGACATGTCGCTCGAAGCACTGTTCGCAGATGCATACGATGTCAGCGGGTAAAGGGAAAATCTTTAATTCCTAAAATGGGTGATCTCCCATCGCATCGCGTTAATCCCGATTTTCCGTTTGTATCTGTAGGCATAGATGTGGCGGGGCCATTTTATATTACAAATCGTAAAGGACGCGGTTCAAAATTATCAAAATGTTATTTGTGCCTATTCGTTTGTTTTAGGTATAAATGCGTTCATTTGGAGGCAGTAACTGATCTGTCAAAAATATCATTTTTACTATCATTGCGTAGATTTATTTCACGTCGAGGACGCCCAACAAATATATTCTCCGACAATGGTCGCAATTTTGTAGGA